TCATTTAAATTCCTAAACTTTTTTAGTTTTGCTTTTTTAGAAGCAGAAGTAAAGCTAATGTTTATTTTATCATTCATAAAAGCATGGCCCTTGGGGAGGGGGGTCTTACAGATGATGGCAATGATTACCTCATATGTCAATATTATGTTTTGATCTGATACAAGTGTGAAACCATTTCATTACGCAAGCTACATTAAATGCTAAACTACTGAAAAACATCTACCTATTCAGACATGACAATCATTTACTGAACATCAACATTTAAGTACCTGTTCAGTATTTGTTTCGAAGTCAACCATCTTTTTCAGACAAATATCCAAATGTACAACAACCTGTATTATTAAATAGCCTCGTTCAGGGCTTGACAAATTTTCAAGAGACCAAGGAGCCAACTTTTTTTTTTCTTTTTTTTTTTTTAACAAAGCTTAATTTTAAAAGACAACAACACAATTCCTAACCCCTTAAGGACCAAACTTCTGGAATAAAAGGGAATCATGACATGTCACATGTCATGTGTCATTAAGGGGTTAAAGGGACACCAGAACCACTACGGCTTACTGTAATGGTTCTGGTGCCTATATCCTTTCCCTGCATGCTTTTCAATTGTACATTGCTGCCTAGTAACACTTCTAGTGACTGTCACTATAGGTTATTCCACGTCTAGTGCTGCACCATGCTATGCATAGAAGGGCTGAATGTTGCCAATTGAGATGCATTGACTATAAGAAGGTGCTGATTAACGAAGCGGCAACAGCCTTCCAATGCTTTCCTAAGATCATCAGGATTGACAATCTCAGCCATGGAGGCAGGGCGCAGCATTGAAAAAAGAAAAAAAAAATTGAGTAAAAACACCTTTACCAATCAGATCAGATAATCAAATCAGATAGGTTGATAACCTAAACAGACACACGCATACTCCCTGACAGATCCTCTCAGACACACACAAACATTTTCTCACATACTCACAAATTATTATTTTTTATTCCAGTTTAAGTCGACCCAGCCTCCCTACATTTGCGAGAGCTGGAGTGGATATCCTTTCCTTGGGAGGAGGGGAGATAGCTCTTCTTGCTCTGCTACCTCAGTGATCCAGGAACCAGAGTGACGTCATATCACAGCATCACTGCAGGTCGCAGAAGGGAGCAGAGAAGAAGAGCTCAAAGATTACAGTTTCCTCCCTTACCGACCGCATTCACCCTCAGCGGGCCGCCTCCATGCTCCTATGCTGGGCCACCCGCTTCCATTCATCATGAGTATGGCGCCTGCATGCTCCTTTGCCAGGCCACATGCCTCCATTCATCTTTAGTGGGTAGCCTCCGCTCAACAGGCTGCCAAATCCCTATTTGTTGACTAGTTACTTGTCAAATCAAATATTAACACAAATCATTTTTTTCCCCCCCACTTAGTACATGGGATTATAGGGGCGTCACCAAGAATAATGCAAAACCTTTTTTTTAGCCAAACATTTTTACTGGACATTATGCAGTATCAACAGCAGTAAGGGTTTTGGGGAAAGAAGGAAAGAAGGAAAGAAGGAAAGAAGGAAAGAAGGAAAGAAGGAAAGAAGGAAAGAAGGAAAGAAGGAAAGAAGGAAAGAAGGAAAGAAGGAAAGAAGGAAAGAAGGAAAGAGAGAGACACACACACAAAACAGCCAATGACAAAAATTGTAGTATTTGCAGAGGGATACAATTATAAAGACAATCATGAAAACTGTCTGCACTCCTCTTGTGAGAGACAATGTATCCTAGATGGGAATTATGAGAAACAATCTGCAACTAATGCTGTGGTTACCAACACAGGGGCTGTATGTCTACTGAGGAAGGCAACGTGACAAGTACAGGTTAACATAGCTATTTTATGGGCAGTTTAACAGATACACGGAAGCCTTGTTATTCAAAGGGCAACATGACAAATCTATTGATAGCATGGCCATCAAGGAGCAATAGAACAAGTTCAGGGTAGCATGAGTATTTGGTGCAAAGTCAAAGTATGGTTATTAAGGCCACCATGACAGGGAAATGGGCAGTATGACAAGTAGGGGGCAGCGACATTGAGCAGGGTCTGCATGACTAGAAGAGAGCCAGCATGGGTATTCAGGGGACAGTATAACTATTCTAGGTGCAACATGATAAGTAGAGAAGCGGTATGGCTACAAGTACAGAGGTAATATTGCTAATCTAGTCCCAGCATGAAAACTAGAGGGGAATCATGGTTAATCCAAGATTGGTATATCAAATCGTATATCTGCAGAAACAACATCTATTCTAGCAGCAGTAAGTAAAGTGCAGGGGCATTGCATCCATCCTATGGGCAGTAAAGAGCTACGGAATAAGCTGGCACTATATAAATACCAATAATAATAGTAATAATAATGACAATTGCAGGGACATCATGTCCATCCTATGAGTAGAAAGACAATTGCAAGGACATCGTGTCCATTCAAAGGGCAGTAAAACAATATACCTACTCAATGGGCAACATGTCTACCCCCCCAAAAACAAAACAAAAAAAACAAAAAAACAGTATGGCTTGTACAGAGGCAAAATATATATCCTTCGAGCAGTATGACAAAGGGGCAACATGTATATCCTAGGGGCAGTATGACAAGCAAAGGGACAACATGTTCATCCTAAGAGCAGTATGACAAGCGAATAGGCAACATGTCTATCCAAGGTGCGGTATGAGTAGCGCAGGGGCAACGTGTCAATCCAAGTGGCAGCATGACAAGCGCAGGGGCAACACGTGCAAGTAATGCATGTGCAACACGTCCAGCCTAGGAGTAGTAATGTAAGCACAGGGACAAGATATCTATTCAAAGGGCAACATGTCAAGTGCAGGAGCAGCGTCTATATTCAAGGAGAAGCATGACAAGTACGGGGCAACATGTCTAGTCAAAGGGCAGTAGGGCATGCACCGGGGCAAAATATATATCCTAATATAAGTATAATGAAGGGGCAGCATGACCATTCTAGCAGTATGAGAAGTGAAGGGGCAACGTGCATCTATCCTTTGGCAATATATCAAGGGAAGGAAGCAACGTGTCTATTCAAGAGGTGGTATGACAACTGCAGAGCCATGTCCATCCTGGGGGCAGTATGGCTAGTACAGAGGCAACACGTCTAGCCGGGGGGTGGGGGGGGCAGTATGGCTTGTACAGAGGCAACACGTCTATCCGAGGGGCGGTATGGCTTGTACAGGGGCAACACGTCTATCCGGGGGGCGGTAAGGCTTGTACAGGGGCAACACGTCTATCCGGGGGGGCGGTATGGCTACAACAGGGGCAACACGTCTATCCCGGGGGCGGTATGGCTACAACAGGGGCAACACGTCTATCCCGGGGGCAGTATGGCTACAACAGGGGCAACACGTCTATCCCGGGGGCAGTATGGCTACAACAGGGGCAACACGTCTATCCCGGGGGCAGTATGGCTACAACAGGGGCAACACGTCTATCCGGGGGGCAGTATGGCTACAACAGGGGCAACACGTCTATCCCGGGGGCAGTATGGCTACAACAGGGGCAACACGTCTATCCCGGGGGCAGTATGGCTACAACAGGGGCAACACGTCTATCCCGGGGGCAGTATGGCTACAACAGGGGCAACACGTCTATCCGGGGGGCAGTATGGCTACAACAGGGGCAACACGTCTATCCGGGGGGCAGTATGGCTACAACAGGGGCAACACGTCTATCCCGGGGGCAGTATGGCTACAACAGGGGCAACACGTCTATCCCGGGGGCAGTATGGCTACAACAGGGGCAACACGTCTATCCCGGGGGCAGTATGGCTACAACAGGGGCAACACGTCTATCCCGGGGGCAGTATGGCTACAACAGGGGCAACACGTCTATCCCGGGGGCAGTATGGCTACAACAGGGGCAACACGTCTATCCCGGGGGCAGTATGGCTACAACAGGGGCAACACGTCTATCCCGGGGGCAGTATGGCTACAACAGGGGCAACACGTCTATCCCGGGGGCAGTATGGCTACAACAGGGGCAACACGTCTATCCCGGGGGCAGTATGGCTACAACAGGGGCAACACGTCTATCCCGGGGGCAGTATGGCTACAACAGGGGCAACACGTCTATCCCGGGGGCAGTATGGCTACAACAGGGGCAACACGTCTATCCCGGGGGCAGTATGGCTACAACAGGGGCAACACGTCTATCCGGGGGGCAGTATGGCTACAACAGGGGCAACACGTCTATCCATTGCTGGAGCAGCATGTGTCACCACAAGTGACAGGCACTCACACACCATCACACTTACAAATTTTTTGGACTTTCCATCCCCTCCTTCTTCCTGGCTCTTCAGCTTTTTCTTTTCCTTGGTGCTTTTGGGGGGTCCCATAGGGCCTGCTCCCCCTCCCCCGGCCGGTGGATCCATGCCGCCCTCTCACCCCAGGCCGGCTAGCACACAGCAGCACTGTATGGCAGCACGCGCACTTCCTGCTCCTGGGACTCGGTGACCCCGGGTTAGTGCTCGTGCTCCCGGGCGGTGAAGGTGTCCGTGACCCGGCTCAGCACCCTGCAGCCCTGCCCCACGCTCACACAGCCTCGCGGACAGCCCCGCCCACTCACATCTGCATATTCATGAGCTCGCGCGCAACAGGAGAAAGCCATTCACAGCTCAGGGCGGAAGAAAAGGCAAAACTCCACTTTGAAAGAACTTCTTCCTCAACACTTCCGGGTGCGGAACAAACCATTCTGTTCTCAGGGGGAGGAGCCAAACACGAACTCCTATCAGTAGCACTCTGTCAGTTTTATTAATCCACCTGTGGCCGGACTTTTTTTCTAATAATTATTTACTGGCTTTTATATGGTCTGCCAGCGCTTTGTAGGCGAAGTGGGAATCATGAAAGGTGCTGGTGGAAGGTTACATTTTGAACGATTTTGACGTGTAGCCAAGTGGGTGTGTGGATCGTTCGTGTGAACTGTGAGATCGCCACCTGCCGGCCGGTGCTGTCATTGCAGGATTAATAGGCTATGCTAACACGTTTAGCGCCTGTGCGCAGGCAGTGAGTGCTGTGTGCTGATAATACCAGGGAACACACAGTACAGCATTTCCTGTATGGCTACATTAAGGTGTACGTACACACAGGGCTGGATTAACATAGGGCAGTGATGGCGAACCTTTTTGAGCTCGAGTGCCCAAACCGCAATACATACCAACTTTTGTTTCCCTCAAAGTGCCAACACGGCAATTAAACCTGAATACTGAGGTTTAAGTTTAGAAAAAACAACTCGTACAGTTGTCCGAACTAATTAACAACTTTTGTTTTAAAAGAAGAACACAACAACAGAGAGTTCAATGATACACATTTTAAATAATGATATAAATAGATAAAATTAAGCTTATATTTATTAGTATCTCAAACAAATGCAATACATACACACACAGACTGCTGAACACATTCACACAAACACACACACAGTCTGCTAAAAACACACAGTGCGCTAAATACACACACACAGACTGCTGAATACATACACTGCTGAATACACAGACAAGTTGCAGAGTACAGACACACACTGCTGAATACACACACACACATACTGCATTGAGGGGTGCAGTGTATGTGTTTGTGTGTAAGGGTGTGGAGTGCTGTGTGTGAGGTGCTGTGGGGGTAGGGATGCTGTGTGTTTTGGGGGGTAGGGGTTCTGTGTTTGTGGGTGGGTGCTGTTTGTGGGGGTAGGGGTGTTGTGTGTGGGGGTGCTCTGTGTGGACGGGTAGGGGTGCTGTGTGTGTGGGTGCTGTGTGTGTGGGGGGGGTGCTGTGTCTGGGGGTAGGGGTGCTGTGTGGAGGGTGGGAGTGCTGTGTGTGGGAGTAGGGGTGCTGTGTGTGTGGGCGGGTAGGGGTGCAGTGTGTGGGTGGGTGGGTGCTGTGTGTGTGTGGGGGTAGTGCTGTGGTGGTAGGGGTGCTGTGTGTGTGTAGGTGGTGCTGTCTGTGGGAGATTAGGGTGCTGTGTGTGGGGGGTATGTGTTTGTGTGTAAGGAGTGCTGTGTGTGTGTGTGAGGGGTGCTGTGTGTGTGTGAAGGGTGCTGTGTGTGGGGTAGGGGTGCTGTGTGTGGGGGGTGGTAGGGGCTGTGTGTCTGGGGGTGTTGTGTGTGAGGTGGGGGTGCTGTGTTGGGGTAAGGTGCTGTGTGTGGGGGTAGGGGTGCTGTGTGTGGGGGGTGTGGGTGCTGTGTGGGGGGGTAGGGGTGCTGTGTGTGTGGGTGCTGTCAGGACAGTATTTAATGCGGGGCAAACGGGGCAGCTGCCCCGGGCCGTTTTACTTCTAAGGGGCCCAAGGCAGCTGCCCTGTGGGCCCCTCTGCCCTCGTCAACTTTCTCCCCCCACCCATGGACCTTCGGTGCATCCTGTGGGCGTTTGTAAGCAGGGGCCCGTTTTGCTTTTTGGCAGCATGGGAGGAAGTGACTTCCGTGAGTCACTTCCTCCCAGAGAGAGCCGAGCAGGAGAGACCACACCAGGGAAGCAGAGAGGAGGGGGGCTGGTCTGGATTTCCAGGCAACCTCCAACAGTCTCAGCCACCACTCTGGACACCAGGAAAGAAATCCTTGAAGGTAGGAAACAGGGAGTAGATTTAAAAAAGTGTGAATGTGCCAGTATGTCTGTGTGTGTGTGTCTGTCAGTATGTCTGTCTGTGTGTGTGTCTGTCAGTGTATGTCTGTGTGTCTCAGTATGTCTGACAGTATATGTGTGTGTCAGTAGGTTGTCTGTCAGTATGTGTGTGTGTCAGTGTATGTGTCTGTCTGTGTGTGTCAGTATGCCTGTCAATGGGTATGTCAGCATGTCTGTCAGTGTATGTCTTTGTGTGTGTGTCTGTGTGTCAGTATGTCTGTCAGTGTATATCTGTGTGTCAGTATGCCTGTCAGGGTATGTGTGTGTGTCAGTATGTCTGTCAGTGTGTGTCAGTATGTCTGTCAGGGTATGTGTCTGTGTGTGTGTCAGTGTGTTTGTGTCTGTGTGTGTCAGTATGTCTGTCGGTGTGTTTGTGTCTGGGTGTGTCAGTATGTCAGTGTGTTTGTGTATGTCTGTGTGTCAGTATGTCAGTGTGTGTGAACGTGTCAGTATGTATGTCCGTGAATATGTCTGCGTAGGAATGTATGTAAAAGGTGCAATTGCATGCCAGGGAGTGGGGGGTGCCCAGGGGGCTCAAGAAATAGCTTTTCCCAGAGCCCTAGTGATATTAAAGACGGCCCTGGGTGCTGTGTTTGGGGGGTAGGGGTGCTGTTTGTGATGGTGGAGGTGCTGTGTGTGGGGGTAGGGGTGCTGTGTTTGTGAGTGGGTGCTGTGTGTGTGGAGGTAGGGGTGCTGTGTGTGGGGGGCTGTGTGTGGGGGGTAGGGGTGCTGTGTGGGGGTAGGGGCTGTGTGTGGGGTGAGGTGGGGGTGCTGTGTGGGATGGTGGGAATGCTGTGTGTGGGGGGTAGGGTGCTGTGTGTGGGGGTAGGTGTGCTGTGTGTGTAGGTGTGCTGTGTGTGTGGGTGGGTGCTGTGTGTGGGGGTGGGGCTGCTGTGTGTGTGTGGGTAGTGCTATGTGGGGGTAGGGGTGCTGTGTGTGTGGAGGGTGCTGTGTGTGGGGGGATAGGGGTGCTGTGTGTGGGGGTAGGGTGCTTTGTGGGGGGTATGGGTGCTGTGTGTGTGGGGGGGTGCTGTATGTGGGGTGTGGGGGTAGGGTGGTGTGTGGGGGGGTAGGGGTGCTGTGTGTGTGTGGCTGGGGGGGAGATACATTAAAAAAATAAATGAAAAAAAAAGTACATTAAATCTGCATCCGTGGTGGTCCGGTGGTGGTAAGTATGTGATAGGGAAGCAGTTCTCCTGTCCTCCCGCGCGATGCTGTGTGGAGCGTTGCCATGGTAACGGGCGACAACGCTCCACACAGATTGCTCGCGGGAGGACAGGAGAGCTGCTTCTGAGATCCCTCCCCCTGTTTCCGGTCTTCCTGAAAAGAAAGCAGAGTAGGCACCTGCTGTTTTGGGCAGGCAGGTGCCTACTCTGCATTGATGCAGACAGAAAGCGGCTCCCTCCCCCGGCGACCTATGGCCGCGTCATGCGTGGCATAGGTTCGCCATCACTGACATAGGGGCTCAGTGGAAGCACAAGGCGAAGGCAGAGGAGGAGGAAGAGGTCGCCAACGCAGCTGGGGCACCGCCAGCACCTCAGAAGGCAGGGTTAGCATGGCCGAAATGTGGAAAAACGTCGTCAGCACACCACAACAACCAGCACCACCAGCTGATATGGAACGTCTTAGCAGGAGGCAGCATTTCAGCAATATGGTTGAACAGCACACACCTACACGTACTTACTGATGGGTCAGCCCCATTCAACTTCTGGGTCTCCAAATTGGGCACATTGCCTGAGCTTGCCCTTTATGCCTTGGAGGTGCTGGCCTGCCCTGCAGCCAGTGTATTGTGTGAACGTGTGTTTAGCACGGCAGGGGGCGTTATCACAGACAAGCGCAGCTGCCTGTCCACAGCCAACGTGGACAAGCTCACATTTATTAAAATGAACCAGGCAAGAAGTAATCAGGGCCCGGCCTTCACTGCATCAGTAGCCAAAGAAATCTGGGCATCACTGGGGGTGACCCTTGTATTCCACACTCCCTACCACCCTCAGAGTAGCGGCAAGGTAGAGTGCATGAATGGCACCTTAAAAGCCAGAATGCTAAAAATGGCCCAAGAAACTAACCTGTCCTGACCAGAGAGTCTTCCCATTGCCCTGTTTAGTGTAAGGTACACACCCCGAGGGAGGTTTGCCTTGTCCCCTTATGAGATTCTGTTTTGGTCAGCACCTAGACTTGGATGCTATTTCCCCCAACAACTCCAGCTCCATTCTTATATATTGGTTGACTATGTAACTGCTCTCTCTCGTGCGCTGACCAAAATCCATACACAAGTGTTTTCTTCCATTCCAGATCCTGAGTCTGACACAGGCACCCATCGATTGCTTCCTGGTGATTGGGTTCTGGTTAAGAAATTCGTGAGAAAGCACACTCTTGAGCCAAGATATGATGGTCCCTTCCAAGTCCTCCTAGTCACAGAAACTTCTGTTAAATTGGCCAGGAAGAACACCTGGATCCACGCTTCCCACTGCAAAAAGGTTCCAGCCCCAGAGGAGGTGGACTGTCCTAAGCCATGATTATCCTGTGCATCCTTTCACTCCTAGGCCTGACAAGGGCCCAACAAGTTGCCATTACTAAAGATGATAATGTGTTTACATTTTGGTATAACTCTTCTAACACAAATGTAGCCACCTTCGCATTTGACTATTGTGATATTGTCAGCTGTCCATTCCCACAATCATTGGTACAAAATGTATACAAGGATATACCCTGCATAAAAGACCCATATATATGTGTTACAGACGATTATTGGGGACATGACTGCAGTTCCTGGAGGCGGCGGGTTGGAACACTGGAACAGCGTGGGGATACAAACCACAGAGTGCCCTGGACAGGTTGGACAGAAATGGGGAATCCTTATTACGTAGAATGACTTTACGAAAAACGGGAGGGGCGACTCCAATGAAACTTTCCCTAAACATAGAAAATCCTAGCCCTGGCGATGCTGGTAAGTATGTAATGGGAATATACTGGAGAGGAAGGGGCTCTTATAATAAACAAGGACGTTTCTATCTCCAAGATATGTATCAATCACCTGAGTGGGTAGCTTCCCACAAGGTCCATGTGGGAGTGCCCTTTGCATGGGGACTTGCATAAAACCAGTGTGGCACCATGAAACTTGATTTCCTGTTGTACCCTTCATGAAGTCTAGGCTCATGTTTTGGTAACTGTCTACTTGCTGGGGAGAAAATACTTGGATGCTGCATTGGTCTGGAACCGTTCAAATCTACACCCGAACTGCAGCTAATCACTCAGACTCAGCAGTTCTGGAGGAATAGGCGAACAGTGTATCTACTATACGTTCGTAACAGGGGCCAATTGCTACTTTGCCAAAAAAGATTCAGGCTTAGAAGCACGGAACTGATAGGCATATAAAAACAAAATTAGTATAAGGTAGTAGACATGATATATTACATTAAAATATAAAAAAGAGCGTTATTTCGCTAGATGGAAACGTTATAATGCGGTCACGTGACTATCTTTGGGCCGCAATGGGAGTTGGGAGATGTAGTGAACGTGCGCGCGTGCGCACGCATTAGGGGCGGCCGTCGGCACGCATAAGTATTGTAGCCGGTGGTGGGTGGGAAGTGGGGGCTGTGGCTGAATAGCCAATAAGGGTGGTGGGCGGGCCGAAGATAGTCACGTGACCGCATTATAACGTTTCCATCTAGCGAAATAACGCTCGTTTTTATATTTTAATGTAATATATCATGTCTACTACCTTATACTAATGTTGTTTTTATCTCATTAACAAGTTTTACCAACATTATTTATATCTGTATTCCAATTGGCTGACCGGATTTTAGGCGCCAATTTTAATTAATTCTTACCTTATTTAAACTTACACTGCCAGGTATCATGTTCTAATTCCATATTGAGAAAGCCTTTTAGGCGAAACGCGTTTGTGGATTTTATATAGTGTATTTTATTCATTAAAGATCTGTTGGTTACTTTTATTTGTGCCAATTATCTTTTATACACTCTATAACAATTTTTTATTTTTACCTGGCATTTTATCGCTGTGGACTCCAAGAAATCCTAGGTGGGGATCAAACCACCAACGCTTATACTAGTGGGCAGTCTGTCTGCCTCACCCTTGTGAGTACCCCTTTTATATATATTTTATTATCATTGTTTTATTCAGAGAGCACTATCGGTTGTCTCTATTTTATTCTCTTTGAGTGTTGAACATACCTTTGAAGCAAGACATCCGCACCAAATCCCATAAGCGGGGATTATACCTTTTATTTTACCTTAATATGATATATTGCACTATTTTGTTTTATCTTTTGTCTTTATATAATATTGGATCTTTCCGGGGAAGACTCACATGGACAATATCCCCAAACAAGCACGTTAAAGACCAATTGACCTTAAGAAAGAACTATCAAGTTAAGACTTTATTGCGATACACTATTGCTATCCTACTATATTTATTCTGTGTGACGCAGCCTCTTTTTTGTATTTTCTGTTGTTTTTTAAGGGACTTTGAGGGGTTGCTGCCTACCCATTACTTAGCGCTGACTCTTTATCTTGTTTTTACAAAATACATCATATGCAAAACATGAGATAACAAGGAAAGTACATCTTTAATTGGTCAAGTGTTAAGTGTCTTATCTAATGCACTTCCTCCAAAGTGTGATGTCACCATCATCTTGGGATTTTACTCCGGATGGAGACGCCATCTTGTCACACGAGGTGTTTGGTCGATGGGAGGGGGTGCTCTAGCAGCCATTTTGAGTAAATACTTACTATGTAGCAAATAGACATTTTACCTAAGTGTTAGTTTATATCCATAACAGTCCCCTCTTAAAATGACTATTTACTAACAACAGTCTCTAGCAGCTATTTCTGTCCCTAAAAGCTGTCCCTAATAGCCTACAGCTCATCTGTCCAACAGGCCTCGAACTCTTTTGGTGCTGCGCATAAAACGAGCAGTGGCTTGTCCACCACTTCCCTCGCTACAGACTGTGCACGTAAAGACAGACGCTATCCCTACAATATTGTATCTTTGAGGGGGAAGGACTGCAATGGGGCATAGGGTTTATCATAATCCTCCTCATCTATCTTTTGAAGAATGAAAGTTGGTGTGGCCTGATCTGCTGTTTTCTGTATACATTTCTTAGCACAGGGGAGAATACAACAGACAATGAGAGCAAGAATAATCAAAATTACCAGGACCTATCTGGGCCAGAACTTGTTGCCACCCAAACCATCTTTCCCATGGATCTGTGACCCCAGAATTCCTTTTTAATTCTTCCGAGAGACTAATTTCTCTATTGCCAGGGTCACCTTGCCATTCGGGCCTGTGTTATCTGGAATGTAGGTGCAACATGTCATGGTGTTGGGGAGTATTTTATATACTCCTCCTTTCTCCGCTAGGATCATGTCTAGGGCCATCCTGTTCTGGAAAGTCATCTGGGATGTGGCCTGAAGTTGCTCAGCAATCCCCTGAAGGGCATCTCTCGTATAGTTTACAAACCGTTGTTGGTTATAATAGATATAGTTAATCCAATTTAGATTCTTATTGGCAGTAATGATTGGGAGAATGGATTCAAATCCTGCAGCAACCTCATCTCTCGCCTTGGATTCATTTGGTACCCCCCTTGGCACCCCAATGGCATCAATATATAAACATGGGGGTCGAAACTGCCTTTTACAGGGTTGCCTCTCTTTGTTCTGATATGTGCGTGTGACTTGTCAAGTGTATCTTGGTGACTGTCGGATATTATGTGTATTGGCATAATAACCTTGGCTAGGGTGCATTCCCCCCATCATAAGCCTTCCAACCTTTTCCTGAGCTGTATATCCCCACACAACTAATATATGTCCCCCAGGGACTTAACCTGATTCTGTAGCATTGCAGCTGGAACTTTGCTATAAGTGGCACAATATTTACTGGTAAAATTACCCCAAAACCTTCCTATTCCTCCATATATACCATAACACGTATAGTTCCCTGGATAGATGGTAATACCTTCATCTGGTGTGAGGTTCTTTGTCATAATTGGGAACTCCTTCTTCCATGATTCGCATACTGATTGGTTAGTCTTACAGTTAGTTAAGAGACTCAGAAAACACACTTCCATGCCGGGGGTAGGATGAGGGGTACAGTACCTAGGTGGAGTCTTGCTCCTCCACAGACATAGGAGTTAGTTCTATTGTGTTTGTTAGCATTATATCTCATCCATTCAAGCCATAGGTAAGTGTCAGAGAATCATGTCTCTGTAGCCATAGTGTCTTCAAATGTAGGGTTAGCTATGGCTACCATATCCTTAAAAGTCTGGATGTGGGGTTTTAGTGGGTTAGTAATCCCCACATGGAAATCAAGTTTCATGGTGCCACACTGGCTTTTATGCAAGTCCCCATGCAAGGGGCACTCCTTCTATAAGAGAATTTCCAGTGGGTCCTTATACTTCTACTAGGTATTATAGATGCAAGCCTGATATGGAACAAACAGAAAACTACAGTTGGACCACATACCACTTCCGGTTATATGGAACCCACGGAAGTTTAATGTTGGAATGAGTAACATTTCCAGTTACATGAATACATGCAAATAAGAGCTGTGATGAATAGAAGGGAGTCGGCAGTAACCTGAACAGGTGATTCCAACCCACACAGGTCCAATTAGAAGAAAGAAGATGCCCATCGGATCACAGATGGACTCAGGGATTAGCCCTATATTAGAGACTTGTGGGAGGGGGTTGTTAGGCTGCTTTTTTGCTGCATTTACAATTGTGCTTTTTTACTTATTGGTCCCTGAGGAAGTCCTATATTTGTTTGGGACGAAACGCGTAGGACCGACCATATATTTATTTGTTTTATTATAATTTTAATCTGTATTAATTAAAGCTGCATTTTTTTCAACCTACCACCTGGAGTCCTGCATCGCAGTGGTGAAAGTCCAGAAAAGTGGACCTTAGCCCCCCCATCATCATTGGGGGAGGCACCTTATAAATGCTTGAAAATACTACCATCTTGTGATCTGTATATATTTCAATTATCTCACAAGCAGAGAGGATGGAATTATCTGTTTGTATTGGGAGTGTCCCTCCTTGTCACTGTATTGCCATTGGAGTGCATTCTATAACAGCGCAATTATTGTGTTTTATGTGAATTTACACTATATTTTCTATATCTCTTTATCCTTAGATATCAGCCGGTTCCCTCTTTTTTTCTGTATATATATATATATATATATCTTTAGTGATGTGGGATTGCTGACTGGGGGTGATCCGAGGGAGGCTGACACTTACGATTGATAAATATAATCTGTTATCACCTTACATATTCGTATTAGGATGGCTTTTTATTCAGTTCGTTTGTACCCAGTTCTGTGAGATAATTGAGTCAACTAGATTAATAACTCAATTATCTCCAGGCAGTAAAAACATATTTTCCCCAAAACTTAGAAAGTACCCTAAAACACATAACATCCCCATAAATGTCATATCCCCTGATAGCCCTGATCTGGGTTACCAACATTTCTAAAAATCACCCTGATCAGTTCAGGGGTTTTCAAATTTTATGAAAGTCCCATTTGTACCGAACGCACACGAGGCTCCTTCCCAGAAACAGTTCCATGAGTTTATGCTGTGCGGTCGGTCTATTTCGAAAAGTCCCAAAAACGAACTAATACACGAACGGATCTCCCTGACTCATAGTAGCGATTGTTCCCCTTGTTCGTGGGAACCAAACTACCGCTCTCAAACAGCGCTCTCCTAGCTGTTCAGGAAAAGGAAGCAGGCATTCGTATGGTTTGACTGTTGTTCGTGAATTCGAGTGTCCGATTTTAGTTCCAGACACTCGACGACCAAGTCCCGCTGCCTCCTTTTGTGCAAACAAGATGGCCGCTGTTTTCTCTTGCATGTGGCGTTCGGCTATACGAACGGCAGCCACACAGGGAGAGCTTAATTGATGGTTTCCTTTGAAGATAATGAGTCAAGGGGGTGGTCGGTGTTCAGTAATTACAGCTACCGAACCAATAAAACATAGAAAGTCCTGAATGGCATGAATTTTCTTCACAGCCACCATCAACGTGCCAGAATTTAAAACATTTTGGGTATTGACTATGCGGATGATCATCGTAAAGAAGCCCTCCATCCGCTCCTACTGGAGCAGTAGCCCCATCTGCTCTATCCCCATTTATTCCCAGTGTATGCCATTTCTTGCACTTCAGTGACAACAGCCTGTGTCCCCCTAGGGAGCATCCCCAGTTTGAGAGGCTGTATAAAGTCCACCCCCTAATTACCCACTTCGCTGCCAGGTTTACAGAGGCTTATACACCTGGAAGGAATATATGCGTGGATGAATCCCTGATGAAATATAAGGGAAGGCTGGGATTCAAGCATAATATTCCTTCCAAGCGCTCCAGGTATGGTGTAAAGGTGTATAAGCTATGGATAGCGAGACTAGGTATACTCAGGCCTTCCGGGTGTATGAGGGAAAAGATAGCCACCTTGACCCTCCAGGTTGCCCAGAACATATGGGAACCAGTGGCAAGATTGTCGAGAACCTGATATTCCCCCTGATGAACAAAGGGTACCACTTGTATACAAAACTTTTTATACAAGTGTCCCTTTGTTCAAGCTACTGTATTGTTTTGATAAAGTAGCTTGCGGTACAATCAAAAAGAACTGTGCAGGTTTCCCAGGACAACTTGCACGCATCCGGCTACGAAGGGGGGAGACCTCAGCTCTGCGCCAAGAGGAGCTGTTGGCAGTTAAGTACAGAGACAAGAAGGATGTGTACCTTCTTACCACCATCCACACTGAGAGGACTGTGGAGGTCTCTGTATGTGGCAGAGCTGAGAGCACAAGGAAGCCAGTGTGCATCAAGGCCTATAACCGGCACATGGGTGGGGTTGATCTGGCAGATCAGCTGCTGCAGCCCTACCTAATTATACAGAAGACAAGGTCCTGGTACAAAAAGGCTGCCATTTACTTAATGCAGATTGCAACCCACAACACTTTGTTGTGCAAAAAAGAAAACCCCAGAATGAAACTGACTTTTTTACAGTTTCAGCTCCAGATCATTTCGGGGATTTTGTACCAAGATGCATCTGCTCCCCGGGCGGTGATGGGAGAGAGCAGAGTTGGGGCTACACACTTTATTTTTAAAATCCCCCCTACTGTGGCAAAGCAAAATCCCCAAAAACAATGCAGAGTCTGTTTCAAGAGGGGGCAGAAAAAGGTTGACATGGACTTTTTTTGTTTAACATTTGCGTTGGTTTTTTTTTTGGGGGGGGGGGGCGGTTATATTTGCTGTTCAATACCTAGGGGTGTCTACGTTTCAAACATATACACTTTTATGGCAATAAATAAAACTGTGTTACGTGATAGGCCCCAAACTAAAGATAGTCCTATCAGAAGAAATACTCTCACTTTCAATTTTGGCATTGCAGCCCCAAACAACACAACAAACCTATGCACAGGTGGCATCACTGTATTCAGGAGATTTTGCTGAACACATATTGGGGTGTTCTTTGGCAGTAATACATAACAGGAGCTGAGAATCCATGCCTAAAGTAGAATGAGGGTGAAAAATAACATGAAAAAATGACTACCCAAATGTTTGAAAAAGACTCGCGGTAGAATTAGTGCATGGAAAGTGTTAAAATGCCACCATTTCAAATCCCCTGGGGTGTCTACTTTTCAAACATATATGGTTTGATGGGGGTAAATTACATTGGCCAGCTTCAAAAATGTCCCAAATAGGACATGGGTGCATGATGACCAGATGTGAAAATTCCAAGTTGGAAAACTGGAATGCACACCCTCCAAATAAGGTCTTTTCATCCCCAGAGAACCTGGTGGTATAATAAGTGCATGGAAAGTGTTAAAATACCACCATAATGGTATAACCTTTCACATGTATATATTTACATAATGGAATAACCTTTCACGAAGTGGTTCGGATTTCTGAAAAGTGGTAAAACAAGAGAGGGAGGGAAAATTACGTGAATGATGACAGGAATCTAACCCTAACCCCACCCCTAGATGTGTAAGTGCTTGTGGTGGATAGGGTTAGGGGCAGAGGTAAGGTTAGGGAATGTGCCGAAGTGGCTCAGGATCTTGTCATGTTATCTGTGCATTCAAAATGCCATCAATAAAATGCACCTGTGTTCATTGTCAATAACATACGCCTGCCCATACCATAATCCCACTGACATCATGGGCCACTCAATCCACAACGTTGACATCAACAAACCGCTCACCCACACAACGCCATACATGCTCTCTGCCATCTGTACTGTACAGTGAAAACCGGGATTCATCCGTGAAGAGAACACCTCTCCAAAGTGCCAGACGCCATCGAATGTGAGCACTTGCACACTCAAGTCGGCTACGACAACGAACTGCAGTCAGGTCAAGACCCCGATGAGGACGACGAGCATGCAGATGAACTTCCCTGAGGCGGTTTGATAGTTTGTGCAGAAATTCTTTGATTATGCAAACCGATTGTTGCAGCAGCTGTCCGGGTGGCTGGTCTCAGACTATCAGATCAAACTGACTATAATCAGTTTTCCATTAGTCAGCATGTGCTGTGCACAGAGGCCAGGCTTCATAGTGTGTGTGTTTATGGCTTTACAGCGAGATGGTGGCATCTCAATCACATCTAGAGGAGTCCACACATTGTGTGTAAACCAGCTGTTGGTTTGATTTTATCGCACATGTAGGCCATAAATACTATGCACAAAAATGGTAATTTAGCTTCTCTGATTAGGCTTTAGGCCTTTGCAGACCAAATTACCGCAGTCCTACAAACTTCATGTCCAGAGGTGCAGAGTTTGAGATATGCATTTTTTTATTTTTCACTTCTGAAATGTGTGTGCTATTTTGTATGCGCAAATTTAAAACTCTAAAATTGGGATCTGCAAAATTCTTCCAGACTTAAAAGCCTCCAAAGGTGTTTATTCCCCCTTGACCTAATTTTTAACAACAAACTCACAATCCTCTTCTGGGTCTTTTCTTTACCTCTATCTGTGTTCTTACCTTTGATATTAGGGTGGCCTTTTGTTATGTTTAAATTTTCTTTTCCTACATTTATTCAGGGGTTTTTCTCCATATGTTGATAAGATCTCTAAACTTAGTTTAACCCCTTAAGGACACATGACATGATTCTCTTTTATTCCAGAAAATTGGTCCTTAAGGGGTTAATACTGGTGGTGTTCCAGAATGACTCCATTACGCAGTCAGCTGGGGATGGTATACTTTGGGATTCAGGAGCCATAATCCACAGGCTCCTGTATGGTGGGTTCTCTAAATTAATTGTTCCTGCCCTGTGTTTTTATCTTGCTATATCATCCCACTTATTATGACTGCTGCTTGGACGTTTAGGAAAAATCTAAATTTTACCTACCTTAAATTTCTTTTTCCTTAGTCCAAGCGGTAGTCATGCTTTCCCTCCCTTTATACTATAAAAAAAAATTAATAAATAAAAGTGTAAACCGATTTCCTTCTTTTAGCTTGTTATATACTGTGGAGCTCAGGGTGGAGTTGCCCTTTATAAGGCTACGAGGGGAGGACACTGATGGTGGGGACTGCATTTTGTTGTTTTAACCTTTTCAATGCTACCTGTCCTGTGAGGAATGGGCAACTACATCCCACTTGTTATGACTGCCACTTGGACATTTAGGAAAATGAACATTCAATTCACAGGCAACAGTTCTAGTGGACATTCCTGCAGTCAGCATGCCAATTGCACACTCCCTCAAAACTTGCAACATCTGTGGCATTGTGCTGTGTGATAAAACTGCACATTTTAGAGTGGCCTTTTATTGTGGCCAGCCTAAGGCACTCCTGTGCAATAATCAGGCTGTCTAATCAGCATCTTAATATGCCACACCTGTGATGGATTATCTCAGCAAAGGAGAAGTGCTCACCAACACAGATTTAGACAGATTTGTGAATATTTGAGAGAAATAGGCCTTTTGTGTACATAGAAAAAGCTTTAGATCTTTGAGTTCAGCTCATGAAAAATTTGGGCAAGTGTTGCGTTTATAATTTTGTTCAGTGTGTATTCTCCAAATAAACTATGCTTTCAGTCAGTGGCGCATCCAGAAGCTAATCTCGGGAGGGGCACTGGTAGATCATTTTAAGAAACAATCCAGGCACAATAACCACTACAGCTCTCTGTAGTGGTTTTGGTGCCAGGATTTGCTGTGGTGCCCTCCCAGAGTAGTCAAACCGTTAAAAAAAATTTGATAACTTACCCAGGGTCTGCTGCATAGTGGCTGTAGTGTTTGTGTGTGAGTGGTGCAGTGTATGTGAGGGTCGCAGTATGTGTATGGAGGGGTAGTGCGTGTGTGAGAGGGGTGCAGTGTATGTATGGGGTAGCAATTTGTATATTGGGAGCAGTGTGTGTGTAAAGGGGGGGCAGTGTGTAGGGGGGGCTGGTGTATGTAAGGGGGGGGGGCTGTGTATGGTGCAGTGTGTGAGGGGATAAGGGGGCAGATTCAGCAACTATAACCTTAAAATTAAAATTCACTTTGAATTCTGACAATCCTCACTCAAGTAAAAAAAGTTTAGTCCTTGCACTGCTACTTGTCAGGAATTCAAAATGAATGTCTATAAAAACATAAATGAAATCTGACTTGAGATTTTTCCCAATTTATTTAGCTATTTTTTACCTGAAATTCAATTTGGTATGTATTCAGTAAACAGCAAACTGTAATGAATTTAAATTAAACAAATCAAATTTTTGTGAATAATGCTGACATGGTTATCAATGAAGTGAGAACTGTCAAAAATTCACAGTGAATTTCAAATGATGTCAAAACCAGATTAACATTTTAATGCACTTTGAGTTACCAAAAATATTATATAGTATATAATTCACTCTACGACTGCATGAGTGTATACCAAAGATTAGGTTAAATCAGGAGACATGCAGTGACACTCCTTGGGTTCTCTAAGTGAGAAAAAAAAAAAAGCTACATAAAATAGGTTAATTATTAACTACCCGATAGGGTGTAGTTACTTTTACATTGTAAGCTTGTTTGGGCACGGCATTTTTCACCTACTGTTCCAGTATGTCAATCATGTATTGCAATAAGTTATTTCCTATTGCACAGCGCTGCAGAATATGTTGGCGCTTTATAAATAATATCTATTGGAAAACAATGCTGCAATATATCTCCACATTAAGAAATCTCAGAGATTAAATCTCTAGTAAGCAGAGGATTAATTTTTTTCCCGCAAAGGTTTGTGGAAGTCTCACTCCGAAAGAGAGAGGGGGAAAACTCCAACCCCAAATAACGTAGTCACCATGCCGCTCAAAGACATCAGCAGACAATGAAAGTGCAGTTACAATAAATAGATGGCAGGGGAACAGAGTAATTTTACTTACAAAAACTGTTGAAACACTTCTGATAACGATCAAAGAAAATAAAAGTAATACAGTTGCTAAAATAACACTTTATTAGCCGTCAAAGTGTTTAGAAAAACAACAAAAAGGTGGAAAAGCACATTTACAACCTGTCATTCTTGGATTTTATGTTCCCTTTAAATCACATTTGGTCTACGCATTCTGATATCCAAATTAATCTTTTGGTTTCTTCCAAATTACATTTTCATATTTAGTTTAGTAAGTAAGGGATGTGCCTGCACCTAAATTGATTGGTAAGTTATATCTGGTATAATGTAAGTTATTCACTAAATTGCATATTGTCAGGAATTCAAAGTGCACGTCAAATTTAAGGCCAAATAAGCTAAACTGGAAGTATAGCTGACTTAAATTTTTCCAGTTCATCAAGTTTGGGCTTAAAGGACCACTATAGTGCCAGGAAAACATACTCGTTTTCCTGGCACTATAGTGCCCTGAGGGTGCCTCCACCCTCATTGTCCCTCTCCCGCCGGGCTCTAGGGGGAGGAAGGGGTTAAACTTACCTCTTTCTCCAGCGCCGGGCGGGGAGCTCTCCTCCTCCTCGTTGGCTGAATGCGCATGCGCGGCAGGAGCTGTGCACGCACATTCAGCCAGTCCATAGGAAAGCATTGTGAATGGACTCTGGCGTCTTCTCACTGAAAATCACAGTGAGAAGCGCCTCTAGCGGCTGTCAATAAGACAGCCACTAGAGGCTGGATTAACCCATTTATAAACATAGTTTCTCTGAAACTGCTATGTTTATAGAAAAAATGGTTAAACCTAGCTGGACCTGGCACCCAGACCACTTCATTAAGCTGAAGTGGTCTGGGTGCCTATAGTGATCCTTTAAGTTTGAAATTCAGTTTGAATTTAAAGCAATTCTCACTTGGCGAATAACCATGTTTATTTAGTCATTTACATAACTCAAAGCCAAAATAGGGGTGTGATACAGCCATATGCCAATAGCCTAATATTTATACTACTGTACTGGATCAATGATAAAATTGATAGTGATTTGGCTACCACAATGAACAGATTAAAAGGCTAGCTTTTTAAAGCGCACCAAACTCATGCTTTCAAGACAGGTGACCATAGCTAAACAATCAACATGGGGATTATGGGTGTAACATGTGTCCAGTTAGTAGTATAGGGTAAATTTAATAGCACATTATTTTGGTAACATATTCATTGTGATAGAAAGTTCAGGTCATAATAGTCAGCAAAACAATACAACTTGTTTTGTAAAGGGAAACAAATACAGCCAACTACATTTTTGCTTGTATATATATATGAAATATTTCAAAAGATGACTGGCTTTGGAAACACTCCCATCATTTGTCTGCTGATGGGATTGCAATCATGTAGGGTTCCTCTTTTTGGTTCTCCTTGCTGAACTTATTTTACTGAAAAGATACAAATCCCACACGAAAAGAGGTATCCTTGAATGGGAAAACACAGGGTCTTCAATGTCCATAAAAAACAAAAACCCCAAAAACCCTAATCCAAGTTCTCACATTAATCAACCATCTGTAGTGACATCTCAAAGTTCACTTGGTGTTCGGTCAAAGATTCCCATTTTGCTTAGCCACTCAAATTTCAACATCGCTCTCCTTGTCATTATCATGGTCTCCATCATAAAATTCGTTTGAGGCTTCTGGCCTGCAGACAATACAAAATAATATAAAAAAAACATTTTTTTTTTTTAAAAAAATGAACAAAATGATGTGTTTCAGAACAGATTTAAGCTTGCAGACAAGAGGATACCAATGCACTGGTAAGTTAAAGTGTACCAGTCACCTAATGAAATACTCTACAGAAGTGGATAAGAATCTGTAATGTATTTACTTTGCTTCAAATGATTTAGCGATTTGATTTTTTTTTCATGGGCAGGCACCCTGCTGCTTATTTAATTTCTTCAAAATGTAAATTTTTCATTTATTTACTGACAAAGAACTCAGAAGGGAGAGGTTCCAGGCTAGAAGAATTTCCATAATGAACCTTTAATAAAGAGCATATCTGTAGACATAGATTTACACAGTTTGGGTGTTACCACCTTACTCCAATTAGATCACCCACCCTGGGCTATTAACAGGCTCACTTAAATAAAATGTCTATGTCATATAGAGTTTGAAACGTGATCTGTAACGTGGGTGTATGCTCATGCAAAATCTATCAAAATAAATAAATACACTTGCCTGTTGTAGTTGTCCTCTGAGCCCCTCTCTTCAGGATCTGGTTCATCTGTGCGGTCATAACTCAGCAAGTCTGATGGAACATCATGGATCTGAACACTGGGTGCGTGATTCAACATCTTCAGATTTTCAAAAATGGTCTGCCTGATTTGATCTAAATACTACAAGATATGAAAGAGCACACACTTGATGAGGGATGCACAATATATTTTTTGGCTACTATTAATGTTCATTTCAAATCCCTGCACTAAAGATTATCAAGGATCATTTGGAGGACAGTTTGGACAATGCAAAATCCAAGGAGAATTGAACATAATGTGTGGGAAAAGGTCATGTGTATCATATGTATAGATCATGTCCCTGCTTCCTTATTGTTCAATTCTCTGCCATTTAGGTGTCACATAATTTTACTTATGCAGACCTATCCACACCTCCCCTGGCTGAGGCTAAACACATCCATGAAAAAAAGTGTTTCATACTTACAGCGCTGTGTGTTCAAGTTAAATGAACTTTAGTTACACACATGAGACTCCTGTAGGCATTTAGAACAGGAGACAGGAATTGAGCAGTTAGACTGGTGGGGCATGATCTATACAAAACTGCTTCATTAAGCTGAAGTTGTTTTAGTCTGTAAAGCATTCCTTTAAAGGAAAACCTAATCTAATATTACTGAAAACAGAACATTACAAGTAACATATCCCCATTGTTTATCCTGTTGTAATTAACATGAAAAGTGTATCTCCTGGCTTAACATTACACTGT